GCTATTTTATATGACACAATATTTTGCTTTCGTATTTTCTGATTGTTACCCAGAGCATTAGTATCCTGGCTTTCAGGATTCACAAATCCCATGGAAATCAATGCAATATGCCCTCAGTATATTTGTATACAAAACTTAAGAGAATTTTTAGAGGTCCAATTCATTAGCAAAATCCATGTTTAGTATGCCTCAGAAACATAGACATAAGAGATGCCAACTCTGGCACATACAGATAGCATGGTAGACTATCTTTTTATGTATGTAAGTTATTACATATTGCCTATATATTACATATATAACTTAGATGCCCATTCAGGCATTTGCATATCCAAGAATCTGAATAGCATGGAAAAGTGTAGCGAGTGCCTGACATTTTAAGTTGTGCATCCATTTGTAGGGGGGAATAAGGGAGGGTGGAGGAAAAATTGACCATGTTAAGAGAACGTCAGTAGTGTTAGACGGCCATTTATCTTCCCCAGAACCTTCGAACTGATGCAGGCTTTCTCAGATCAGATCTCTCTCAGATACAGTACAAGCAGGAAGGATGCATGCATGCAGGAGATTAAAACTCAAATCAAATCATTGCAGAGTTGCAGGCTCTGCATTTGGTCCTCCCGAACACTTCTGTTGTAATCCTGTGGGGCTCCATAGTGTTTAAGGACGAGGAATTACTATAACTCTAGTCATGGCCATTGGGATTGGCACACAGGTAATAGCTAGTCAAATCATAAAAAGCATAGATGAATTCCTGCTATTTTTTGGAGTCCTAAAACTGAATGTCTTCTGATGCTTTCTCTTTCAAGCCAATTAACTCTATGCTTCTACTCTGATCTTTTGCTCATAATTTACCAAGTCCTTTTAGAGTTGTTGTTGAATAAATAATAGTTGAATATCTGGCTGCCTTCTCTTTTGTACGTAAGCAAGTTCCATATAACTCCAGTGATATGAATAAAGTGACTCATATATCACTGCTGTGTCACAAGGGAGTTAGTTAGCCTTAGAGACAGGAAAATCAGTACGAGTCCATGCCATGAGTGAACTGTAAAGATTATGTCTTGGCAATGTCACTCATCTTGAGTAAGTCCCTTTCTGCACACATAAAAAGTCTGCTTCATTAAGAAAAGTAGAATTAAACACTGAGTTAAAAGCCTTAGGATTTGGTCTAGTATTTTTAACTTTTAATTTGGCACTGTAATGGAACAATATGTGCAGCTCGTTCTTATGCAATAAATACCAAAAATTGTTTTGTTGTATTCTTGTAGTTACCAAGCTCATATTGTGCAATAAACTGTAAAACTATTTTTAAAACAATATGGTGCTAATAAAGGCCATATTAATTGGATTCTTTGAGAGTTTTCTGCTAAATTCTTTGTATACTGCCTATTTTCAACAGCATATTTATGTACTAGCAAGTAGAAAAAATTTTAGAAGTTGTTATTTTAATAAAACTTCAGAGATGTGTTTATGGTGCAATTTTACATTTCTGCTACATTCTACAGAAAAGAAATGGTTTTAGTCTCACAGACTGTTCACATGGACACAGGGGCCATTAATGAAAACATCCAAAATTATAAGAGAAGATTAACCAAGAGTTGCCAGTTACCTATCTCCTGTTCACAAACAAGGGGTATTTGGCTGTACAGAATGTTAGTAAAATTTAAATATATCCTATACAAGTTTTACTGAAGGCATAAAGTTGAGGGGATTCAGAAAATCATAATGTATGAGCTCAGTATATGTGTGGGCATATCCACATTCAATCTTTGTACCTACCAAAATGTAGGTGTTATAGAACATGCGGATATATTACTGTGTGTATATATAATTTAGGCAGATTTAACAGAGGACCTGATGCTCACACTTCACAGTGTTGAGTAGCTACCAGTCCACATCACTAGGGAAAAACTTATTTTGCTAATCAACAGTTACTTGCCATGGACTTTTCTTAAAACTTTCCATTAAGTCCTTCGTACTGATGATTATTACAGGCAAGGTTCAGGACTAGCCAGACTAATCTAGCATGGTAATTCCTGTGTTCCCATGAAAATTGACCATTTCTTTTGGTAACTCTCTGGTGTTCCCAGTTTCTGTATCTGGTCTTCCATAACATTCTTATTTGAAGGCACACTCTACAGTCATTCTTCAGTTGCTTTCTAGTTATCCATGTTCCTTCACGAGAGATTCTAATTTTAGCATGTTTTATGTTGTTTTGCCAGTTAATTGCTGAGTTTACAAGAGTTTTTATAACTTAAAGGATGTGTTACCAGTTTACATCCACTTAAGTAAAGTCCATTTTGTGCGCAAACCACCCTACCGATCTCCAACGGAGAGACTAGTAGACCGGACAAGGATATTCTTTTCATGGAGGCCAATTCAGTTTACTACAGTGCAGGGAAGGCAGGCTGGAAGGGCACAGCGATCCCACTCCCCAGCCCCTCTGGTCATTACACACACGTGTAACTATGTACCAGCTGGAAGTTGGGGAAGAGTCAACTGCATTCTCTCCCTCCCCCGAGTCAGTGTGTCTTTCTGGGTAGGGTGTGCTGAAGGAAAGCAGGCTAAAGAGGGGTGAGGGTCTCTGCATGAGGAGGCCACCTACACCACATTTACTGCAGCTGAGCAGTGGAGAGTTTCATCTGGCCAGTTTGCGACTGTAGTCAAGAATGGGCCTTTGTATGTACCACCCACACACCTGCATTTTGTAACTTTATGTCATCTGTGGAAGACACTCCCAATATTAGCTGCAGAAATAGTAACTTCAGCACGGGAAGATCTGTCATCAACTGCAGCTAACATCTCTGTGTTGGGACTAGGACAATGAACGTAACAGAAAATCATGTTGTAATTAGATCAGGTTTTGAACAAAAGACAAATTATTTATTTCTTTCTTCAAATGAAGCATAACACTAAGGTATAAAGGGAGTATAAATAACATCTGATTGTGCTCCTAAGCTCCATGCTATAACTTTCTTGCAATGACATCCTTCAACAAATTAACTACATCATTACTGTTAAGTATTAATTGCACAAAACAGATACACAAAATATATAATGAGCTAGAAAGAGGACAACATTCTTTCATTATGACAAACAACTGTAACAAGAAATGGAAAAAAAAAAAAACCAAACCAATAGATCTAGGCTTACACAGATGGCAACACTGAGAGTTTTAAGTCCTCTCCTTGAACACATTACATGTGATAAATAATATGCAAAATATTTAAAGAATTTTATTGTTGCTTACAGAAGATACTTAGCAAGCAAAGAGACAGTAGCAATCACTGCCTCATGTCTCATATCCCCATCATTCAATGCAAATTTTTACATTTCATGCAATAATCCTGAGCTTATTTTCAGTAACATTGAAATGTCATCTATAGTAATTACCAAATACATACAGAGCCCAGCTATGGGGTCTATTGTATTCTTAAGGCATGAAAAAAGACTAACAGTTTATTAACTCTGAATGCCACAAACACAGCACAGCAGTTAGAAGGCTCAAAAAAGCTCAGAAAGTGCCAGTGATTTCTGTGCCAAGGTCCTCCCAGAACACGACTGTGAATCATCAGCTCCTGAAAAGGTACAGAATCAAATCCTGGCCTTGCTGACATCAGGGAGTTTTGCCATTGCCTTGACTGCTGGACCAAGCTTCAGAGCTACCAGGAGTGACTCAGACTCCTCTTCATATCCCCAAAAAATTGACAAACTTCCTCTCACTCAAGTCAAGTATGAATGTAAAAAAACAATACCTACATATTGTTTTCTTAATTAGTATTTTAAGTCTATGGAAAGGTTCCATTCAAAATACAGTATGGCAATTAATAAAAAGCCTTTTCAGAAAAAAGCTTATTTGTTAGTCTGATTTATTAGTATGTTAAAAGAGGGGTGGAAGTATCATGAAAAGAACCTCTGCCACGTCTATGCTCTATTTATAAATTATTTTTAATTTTAAAATTAAAGACTTTGGTAAGCCACACCAAGGATATGTGATGCAATTATAGTCTCCATGGTTCAATGGCTCTTCTCAAAGACAAAGAGCACCGCAGCCCTGTCCAGTCATCAAGTGAAGAACCTACCATCTGCATAAATTGTAAGGGGCTAATAGTATCTGGATGGCACAGTTCTTCACATAGTCTCGTATTTTACACTTAAGAAGTTCTTGCAAAATGCCCTGTACTGAGCCAGGGTATTCCAGTTCAGTTAACTAAGCCACTGAAACCAAGGCCAGATTGGTGGTAAGACTTACTTCATACTTACAATTGCATTATGTCCCACACTGGGAACTAGAATAGCAGATGGTCTCCTCCAACTCTGCCACTACTATTGCCTGCCCCTTACGTAGATATTTGCCTAGTTCAGCTCAGAGTTTACAGACCCAGTAGCCTTATCCTTCATCTACAGGTGGCCCACGGTCTGCCATGGAAAGAACAGACTCTGTCATGCAGCCTTTGTGCATACTTCTTTGCCTGCCTGCTCTACTTGCACAGACAAGCCACCCCTTGACAAAGATGGTGTTGTCCAATTATGTCACTGCAAGGCTCTGAAAACTTTGCAGATACACAAATCCAACTTAACTAATTTAATCTAAAACACCAAGTCATAACATCGAAAAAAATGGTTTGTCACAACAAACCATTCAGGAAACTCATTACTGTCTCATTTGAGATAGAAGGAGAAAAAAAGGTTGTTAATATTAGTTACTGGGTTAGAATTTGCATGGTTTTTGGTTAATGTCCACTAATAAATTAGTTAAAGAAGGCTAAGGCTATAAATTGGTACTGTTTCACTTATAAATATTCACTTCATCTCTATTCTCTTCTAAAAAACATGTTAAGGAAAAAGGTGGCCAGAAGGATTATACATGTTGTAAATTGTAATTTGGTTGTCAGGCTGTAAAATCCAAACATGTAAGTGAAGTTGAGCACAGTGTAAGAAAAGCCAGTTTTTAATTAACTTATTTACAAGTTCATAAAATCAACTGAACTGGAGTAGATGTTCTGTGTTTGTCACCAATATTTTATTGTAACTGGTAACTTGCACGCTTTATAGTAGAAGAACAAAAAGAAAATAAAGTTCACTATATACAGCCTTTGTACAGGCTACTTGACTATACACAAGGCATAGTGATCATAACACAACCTAGTCTTCATAGTAATTTGTGCACAAAAAGACACCAATCAGACATTATGTGAACATTACAGTGAAATGACATCACAAGTCCAGTGAAAATTCAGAATAATACAAAACATATTGATCTACTGCAAATGACATCCTTTGAAACAATAAGCCTTTGTTCAGTAGTAACTTAACCAGAGTCTGATGCAGAGATTTGTTGTGTAGTTATAAGTCTTTTAAGCGAAGCAACCTCTGCAGATAAGTTTGCTATGCCCTGCTTCAAATACAGGTTCTCTGACTCAGAGACATTGTAGATATTGTCTTTTATTTCAACAACTCCAGTTTTGCAACCACTCTGAATTTTTACATTGAGTTCCTTCTGATGCCAGAGTTCTGGTTTAAGTGACCAGTCTTGGATGTTAGTCACTTGAACCGAGAAAGGAGTGTGAGAAGAAGGCACCAAGCTTTGTGCACCATGTTTTTCAAGCTCAAAATGTCTTTTTGAGGACATGTCAATGGGTGATGACACTTTCTGTGTTGCATCATAGTCATTATCCATTGCTTCCACTTTAACTTGCATGGCTTTGGCTTTAATTCGAAGCTTGTGAGGCAAAGCTGAAGAATTCACTTCTGGAACTTTAACTGTTGCATGAACATTTTTATGTTCAACTGGGGAATGGATTGGACCCTTAGGAACCTGCTGTTCATCTTCTCCATCAGATGACTTTCCAACTACACCATCATCAGTTTCTGACGTTCTGGGGGAATTACTGGAGGACCTATTAACTTGCAAGAGAGGAGGAGAATGTGAGTACACATTAAAGGTAGCCCCCATGTAGTTTGGATATAGGGATGTTTTATATGAACTTCTGTCATCTCTTGGCTCTCTCTCTAATTCCATGGGCTCCTGTTTTATAATCTGGAACTTATTTTCAGGACTTCTGCAGTTGCTTTGTATACGACTTGGTTGAGTATGCTCTACAGATGGTATTTCAGACACATCAGACATTGAGCTTTGAGGAGAATGTTTAATGACAGAAATACAACTGCTACCAACTATAGATGGTTCATGTTCATCTACAAATGAGTTAATATTTGATTTAGAAGTCTGATAGTCTTGGAAATACACAGTTGTTGAGCTACTGAGTTTCTGTATCTCTTGGGCATAAGCTGCAGAACTAATTAAACCAAACTTGAGCTTCAACGAAAGCAGCTCCGCCTTCAAAGTGGCATTCTCCTCTCCCAGTGCAATTAGCTTGTTCTCCAAGACAAGGTCATTCAGTCGTCGTTTTTCACGAGATCTTTTGGCAGCTTCATTATTTTTCCGTCTTTTCTCCCAATACATAGCATCTTTCTTTTCATCTGGAATGAATTCTCGCTTTCTTCTGCAAGCTGAAGATTTGCTTTTTCCACTACTTGCTTCAGTAAGAAGTATATCTTCATTAGTAGACAATTCTTCAGACACTTCTGCTAAAGTAGACTTAAGTACCATGATTTTGTCCACACTGCTACTGGTGTCAACAGGTCCGTGTTCCTTTTTAAGGGTCTGCATTTTTCTCAGCTGCATCAGAAACAATTTGTAGTAGATCTACAATGAGCAACAGAGCAAGCTATTTCCCCAGTACTTCTCACTCCACAACTTGATAAACACAATAATTTTAAATCCACGCATATTCTTCCTTTTCCTTCATACTCTCAGACAGAAGTGTCTAGAACCAATTTTCTTGGCAGAGGACAGAGGCAATGGCAATCTTCTTAAAAACCTGGAATAAATAGAGAATTTGATTACTATTTAGGAATTGCTGGTTTAGGACATGCAAAAGTAGCTTTTGATAAAAAGCTCAGACTAGCATTTGGTTCATTAAACCAGCTGTAATACAAAGACAGCTTGACACTGAAACAACTGATATTTTAAGCTTTATGATAGCTAGGTAGCAGATTTACTTCCAGAACAAATACAATATGATCTAAGGAAAAATCAATAAAAAAATATTTGAGTTTTGCTCCTACAGTAATTTTGTCACAGAACTTTCCGTGATATCACTGACCAACCTAAACCTCCAACACTTAACGCTGCCGGACACCAAGCATGTTGATGAGCAACACTGGAAAGTATCTTATTCTTCCACATTAGAGCATCTCTTCTGAAAACAGCTGTGGTGCGTGACTTAGGAATGCTATATATTTGGGTCCTTCATGGATTAAAAATAACGTAAGCTGATTTAGAGAAGCTGGAGTGCTTTCTATTGTCTTAAAATAACACCACTACCCATTAAAGCTATTAAAGATTTAATTATTGTTTTTGCATCCTATAAATATATATATATACAGATATATGTATCTATATACAAATGTTTATACATACACACACTTGGAATTTTAAAATGCCTTTTTGATCAATCAATTATAACTAGTAAATACACAGATATAATTTGGGCAAATACCTAACTTTTAAAAAATTATGTAATACATTTTTTCTTGTCTCTTACAAAGAAAAGTTTAAAATCAGTATTGAAACATGCATTAGAGAAATAACATTTAATTAATAATTGCATTGGAAAAATAGTCTTATTACATTAAAGTTTAGTTTAATACCATTGAGGCACGTGCACCTTTAGAAAACAGTGTTTGCATTAAAGTGGAAGTTTAGATCTAAAAGTCTTACCATTAACAAAGGAAAACTAGCTTAACCTTTAGCTTCAGACATTTTAATCATTAAATATAACTTAGCATTTAAACTGGCCTTTGCTTTATTTAGTCTCTCTTAATGCAAAAATACTTTATTCTCATAAGATCATTTGGTCTTGATCTGAGATACAGCTTCTCAATATCTCATTTTCCACAGTTAGTCATGTTCCTGGTAAAATAAATATAGTATGCCAAGTGCTTTTATAGAACTGACTACTGAGTCAGCAATGATTCTTGCCTGTATAACAGAAAAAAAAGAAAAAAAAAAAGAAAAAATCAGCCACTTCAGATTAATGTCACTATTTATTGGGAATGTTTTTACAATGACTAATGAAACTAATTTTAACGTTATCAGTTGGGAAAGTTATAAAAGAATTAATGAATTGTATTCTGCCAGTTTCTCTTGTCTTTTCCAGAAGGGATTTTTAGAGGAGTGAGTGATGTAATAACAATTAAGCAGGGTCATAAAGACTCAGGTTTCAAGCTGGGTTCTGTTCCATCAAACCATGCCAACTCTTCTGTCATGAAAAATTAACACATTTAATAGAGCAGCTAAGTAGAATTTCCTAAAATCCATGGTTAATTACTGACATGTAACTATTTGTCTTCAATAATATGGCCTTAATGGCAAATAGAGTTAGAAGCCAGCCACACCAAAGACAGCATCTAACATTTTAATGCAAAAGCAGCACCACAAATTGCCATGTTTGTAAAGGAGAAATGTATCTCTAATATACGAGTAATTACATAGTTAGATCCTGATCCAAAATTCAAACTAGAGTCAAAGGGAGTTTTCTGTCAAGTTAAATAGGAGCTGGATCAGGTCTAAAACCAAAAATAAGCCCCACAACAAAGCAGCATCAGTTTGTCCAAACTTTCAGTATAATTTGATTTGCTGAAGAAGCTGGATAGCCATTCCATCCATTTCACTGCTACATGTAATCAATGGTGTAATTAATATGCATACCATTTTAAATCTAGTGAAACCCAATACTTCAAGGAAAAAGAAAATCATTGTTGAGCACACAGAATTTAACAATAAAAAAAGACAAGACAAGGCCACCTGAATTTCTGTGGCATTTGTAGAATATTCAGTCTCTGTAACATGACTGTACATTAAAAGAAGAAAAATACTGGGATTTTATTTTGTTACCCTATAGTACTGGGAACACACAGCTATTGATCCGTAATTGTCTTGATATACTACCATCAGTGTATTCACTTGCATCATTAACAATTTCTGCATTTCTGAGGAAATGCATACACATTCTTATGGCACCCAGCACAAAGCAGTGTAACATGTACTGAACACCTATAGAATCATCACTCATCTCTTAGCCAACCTGGCCATCTCAGCCAACTCTCACTGGTGTCAAAAGGGTTCAAATGAACTTTTGTAAAATTTCAGAGCCTTACCAATACAGAGGTCTTACTGAATTTAAGAGTACTCAAGAGCTACGCTCAAACCCAAATAAAACTACTTATTCTCTTAGAAAGGGATACTAATATGCATACATCATTATTGTCTATGTATTTATCTGCCATATACCTGGGAACATCTACACTTACTTGAAACAGCAGTAACAGCAGCAAGTACTTAGAAACACAGGATTTGTGTGTATTTTAGAAGAATGAAACTATACTCATGCAGATTTAATACAACTTTTTTTTCCTTCTTATATTCCAATCTTCCATTTCCACATGATATAGAAGCAATATGTTTAGTCTTGAACAAGACTGTTTCAGGATAAGAACTATGACTTTGTGTCTATCTGTATGCTGTTTCAGGATAAGAACTATGACTTTGGGTCTACATGTATGGTCTCCAGCTCAAAGTGATCCCACTTTGGTGTTTGTCCAACACTGCGATCTAGGAAAAGTACTACTAATGATAATAACAATGATAATACTACTCAGCAAAAAGATGGTTTGTGGGGTTTTTTCCCCTAAATGAATGTAAACTAATGGCATAATTCATCAGTGTGACAGCCTATCAAGTAAAAACTCGGCTGCATGTCCAAACATCATCTCCTGCAGCCTAACCCTAGCACTGTGCTGCACTTAACCCATCAAGCTGCAGAGTTCACATCCCATGTTCCACCAGACTTCTACGGTTTGGGCCATTCCAGTGCACAATCTGCTCACTGTAGCACTGAAAACTCCTGTTTTGGCCAGTCTCCTCCTGTACACGTTGTTCCTGGGGCAAATAGAACACACATAGAATGCAAGTCTACAGCAAATACTGTGTATCAAAATGACCATGTTTTTGCATGCTGTATTCAACTCTGCTTTCTGCCAGAGTCTATCAGTAAAGCTATCCAGACAGACAAGTAACCCACTGACATAGTCTTACCGGTTTGCTATTTATGCAGTTAGTTCTAATGCCATTACTTTAGTGAACTAACAAAACAACAATAAATCTTTAGCTCTTTCCACATCTTCCTTGAGCACTTTTATCTGGTAACTGGAATTGCTGCTTTACAAACAGGAGTCAAAGCCCTTGTTTATTGATACCTCTTCATGTGGATCAGCCCAATGCTGAGTCTGTAAACAAATTAAATTCCATCTGATGATAATGGCAAAATGCCTTCAAGGAAACCAGCCATTTCAACTTCACTTGCATTTTATAATTCCACTGGAAAACATCAGTATTTACACATAAATTAATGAACTGTAATGATTCCTCTGACTGTATTTCAAATTCCAATATTTTCCCTTATGATTAATTTTTCAATTGCTTTATCACTCCCTCAAAGTGTTATAAAACCAACATTTAATACTGCCTTACATTAGTCACTCTTAAAGATTTTTTTTTTTGGGTTGGTTGATGTTAATGGCATTGAGTGCCAATTCAACAATGTAATAACACTCGATCCTATTAACTTAATTACAGACCCAGTCTTGCTCCCACAGCAATTTTGCCATTGGCTTCAATAGAAGCAGGATACAATCCCGGATCCAAGTATTAATGAGACTGTTGTAAAGAACTCATGCTATTGAAGCAAGAAATTAAGTACGTAGAAATCATGAAAAGTTAATTTTTCCATGGACTTCAAATAATACTTAAGTGATCTGATTGTGTCAAAACAGTACATTAAGGATCTGATCCTAGGGATTTGTGCATTCACACTGGAATAACGGAAATGTTTCCAAAAGGTTGAAGGACAGGGCCACAATCTTACCTCTCTCTCTTCCATGTAATTTAATTACGTAAGTAATTTCTGTTTTAGAGAAGACAGGTCAGTCTCCCCATGTAGTATGTTTCCCCACAGAGTAACTGTGTATTATTGTTTGTATTTAGGAAAATAATTCATACTATCTCCAAGGATGATTTTTCAAACATATTCCGGAATGAGGTAACTGATTGTTTAATTCCGTTGCTCTAACGTTTTGATAGTGATTCTATGAAGCTAAATGAAATCCCATTTCTAGCTGTTGGATGCTCAAACACAATTCACTTTTGTATCACTATGCATCCAAAAAAATTTCTCTCAGTCCTTCAAAAATAGAAGGAAATAAGGCCTAAGTATACCTTGTTTCAAAAAAGAACCACGCCTCTATCACCAGCACCACTACATGGCAAACTGCAGAAAAAAAATAAAAGCTCATATTGACAGGTGTCTGTGTCTATTTTCAGTTGTTGTTGTCCATGTTTTGCATTGGTATCATTAATTATATTCTGCTACCATTCTGCCATGGTTTATTTATTTTGAAAATCTGTCTACATACCAGAAGAGCTGGCGTAGAACCTGCTCATACATACCAAAATGACCAGTTTGCAGTCTAAACTTTGAAAAACTGAAAAATATAGTTTGCACTTTACCTTCAAAGTGTTTTAAAAACAGTTGCTATCTGTCTCAAGACTTTTATGAGGGACAGAAAATATATCATCCTCATTACACACACAGGACAGGAAACTGAATTTAAGCTTAGATGGTGAATACACAACCTGCCTAAACACTGCTGTAATACTTTGAAGCCACTCTATCTCTACTGCTTTTCACAGACAAAAATCATGCTATGAAATTCTGCACCTCTCAGGTCTATCATGATTCACAAATCCTCTCCAACA